GGAAAAGGGGGTACAGGGCTACATATCATGTACTACGGATCATTTAACCCATTCATATTAGCAGAGGATAATTGTAAATCTATTGTTCAGTGCACTCTATATGTAGTATATAGTACATGTACATATAGAGTGCCTGCAACAATACATTTACAATGATCCTCTGCTAACATGAATGGGTTAAATGATCCATAGTACAGGGCTACATACAGATCATTTAATACATTCATGTTAGTATAATTGTAAATGTATTGTCTGCACTGTATTAGCAGTATATACTCTATATAGAGTATATACTGCTAATACAGTGCAGACAATACATATATAATTGCTTAATTAATCTCTCTCTCTACCCCCCCCCCCCTCCCTCACTGTGTGCCGGTGATCGGATCATCACAGAGAGAGCAGGGACGAGTCAGCGGCGCGCTGATCAGACGAGAGGAGCTCCAGGTGGGGTCCTAATTTAGCTGGCTCAGAGGTGCCTGCCCGCTAAATTACAACCCCACCTGGAGCTCCTCTCGCCTGATCAGCGCGCCGCTGACTCATCCCTGCTCCCCTGCCTGACTGGCCGCTGCGGGGGGGTTTTTCTTCTTCTTACTTACCTCGCCGAGCGTCGCTGCTGCTGCGGTGTGCGGCGCTCCGAGCGGGGTCATCTGGCAGTCTCCGGCCACCTAAATTAGGACCCGGAGACTGCCAGATGACCCCGCTCGGAGCGCCGCCCACCGGAGCAGCAGTGACGCGACGCTCGGCGAGGTAAGTAAGAAGACGCGCTGGCGCTGACTCGAGTATAAGCCGAGGGGGGCACTTTTCACCCAAAAAAATGGGCTGAAAATCTCGGCTTATACTCGAGTATATACGGTAAATGTAAATAATATTTAATGGTATTTATTGAATACACAGTTGGATCAATTGGAGTTTTTTTAGTATCTGCTTGGAGTTTAGCTTCAAAATGCTATAAGTACTTCCATAAGCAGCAGCTTTCATAGCAACCAGTGTGTGCCAAGACGCCTGTTTTCAGGTAATCAGGTAATGACAGAGAATTCACACAGTATGTATGTACGAATGAAAATAGTATTCACTAGACACATAGCACGTTTGTGTATTACACAGAGTGCCAAATTCAGAAAGGAGGAGAGGTAAAGCATATTTTCAGTACACCTGCCTGGTTTAAAGTGGACATAAATAAAATGCATATGCATCTTCAGGCGCTTGTACATACCTTTCAATAACTTTCCAGGAGCACTAACATTTGTCATGCTGTATTGTGAATCCACACCCTTATCAAGTCAAGTCACGAGCTGATGTGCCCCTTGTCAATATTGCAGAGGACCAACAATATGTGCATGTATATGTCAATGCTGGACTTTATTCATTAAAGTCAACATTTGGATAATAATGTGCCTAAGGTTTTAGAACTCACTGAGCCTCCATATGACAACAACTGTTTAATTCTCATAAGGACATTTGTGATCTTCTCTTTGGAATTTCTCACTCCAGTGGTTGCATATGAGAAGCTGTGATGGATTCTCAAGAAAGAAAATAGAACAATGCAGGCTAGTTCAACAGAACTGCACAGGCATGAGCATACCATAAGACACCAAGGGGCCAGTGGCAAGACAGCAGTGTCAGAGTGGCCAGCAACAAACCAACAAACATTTACAAATTGTGGTATCATTTATCTTGTCTAATAAGCAGTGTAGGGGCATTAATATATCTCAGCTTTCAAGAATTGTCACAAGACTCTCTGTAACTCTCTGGGTACAGTTGAATAATAGCTTCATGCAAATGGCAGACATCCCTCTCCAATTGTGCAGTGTTTAATATTTTGCAAAAATAATCATTTGAAAAAAGAGTGGTAAGTGAACCATATTGTAGATCCCATTTGCCTAGGACTGTATGCATAGAACCTTGTGCATAGGGTGCCTGTTCACCTACCCCTGAAGCATTGTAACTGGATGATTATACATAGAGAGGTGGTTTGGAATACTCAAGTAATGCCATGATGAAGAAGAAAAATGCTGGGCAACTTGGCTGATTCTTCCTGTACTTTTTTTTTAAAGTGACACTAAACTCATGAGTTCAATCTTAAAAATATATTCAAGTACCTTAACTATGAACAAAAATATATCTTATTTGTGTATCACTCAGCTGTAGATCCTCATATAATCTCTGAATTCATTAAAATATTAACGGGGACTTAGGGGTACGAGCGTGGCACAATATTAATGTTTAATTGTTCGTATTCTGATCACTATCACTGGAATTAGTGTCCGCCGCTTAGATAGGAGCTGAGCGCAAACTTTTATTTGATATCTGTGAATTCATGCTGACACTTTCCTTCCTTTTTCCTTCCAAGCTCACTCCCATGATTGACTACAATCTTAATACAATTTAGTAAACTAAATGGGAGATTGTAGTCCATCACGTGAGAAAGTTTGGAACGGTGACTATTTTGCAACACAGGGACCATGGGCAAAGTAGCCACCCTCCAGAAGGAAGGACAGTGTCAGCACCAATTCAGAGATTATTTGAGGATCTACAGTGATACACAAATAACTTACATTTATGTAATAGTTAACCACTTGATGACCGGGTGTGAAACCCCCTTCCTGTCCAGCCCATTTTTTAGTATTCAGCTCTGCAGTACTTTGACTGACATTTATTCAGTCATGCAATGCTGTACCTAAATGAATTGTATACCATTTTTTGGGTGCAGATAGAGCTTTCTTTAATCACCACTGGGGTTTTTAATTTTTACGCTATAATAAAAAAGTACTGAAAATTTTGAAAAAAAAGCAGTTTTCCCTAATTGTTTACCCACATTTTTGATAAAATATAAAAGATGGGATCACGTCGGGTAAATAGACACCAAACATGTCAAGCCTTAAAATTGCGTGCACCTGCAAAATCACAAAACAACTACCATACCTAAATTGGCCATAGGCTACTCTTTAAAAGCTTTTTACCGCTCATCAGTTTAGTGGTATCAGTGATTAATGGCCCTACAATTATTGCTCACACTTTGTCGTTCGCGGTCATATATAACATGTTTGGCGTAATCTTTGTTTGCGCACGTAGGCGTGCCCAACACGTATTTTAATATTTTTTTTACACTTAACTTTATTGCTATTACATATCAATCACTTCCGCCTTTACAGAGAGAGGAGGATGGGCAGCTACACATCACCACGCGAACGCTTGTATGCCACAGCCAGTACCGGCTGTTAAAATAATTTTGCGGGATTCTGCTTGCGCACTCTAGAATCACGTAAATACACATTCACTGGAAAGCATCTTCCGTCTGCCCGTGTATTCACAATGGGCAGATGGTATAGTGGTTAAGGTACTTGAATGTATGTTTAAGATTTAACTCCTGAGTTTAGTGTCACTTTAATTGCTATATTTTCAAGTTTGACTGGGGCATACATTTAAGTCATCACTTTCCAAATGAACACTTGTGTAGCTGTGTCAATGATGCAGTATTTATTATGTTTGGTGCATGCACTCTTTGTGGAGACAGATGATGCTGACACGATGCAGTAGGATACAGGCATCTGAAAGCGTACTTCAGTCAGCACTGTGAAAGCTGTTTGTTTTGTCTCGAGTGAAAAATGAGCACTGCTAAGCTCTTAATACACAACATGGCCAATGAAACACACATTAATCGTCACATTGTATCCTTGACATAATGAGAAGAAGAAAATACAGAGTGCAATTTAAGCATGACCAAACGTAAACCATTTGCTCCATCTCCTGTGTAGATGGCACAAGGCTATGGGCAAACTCTATAGAATGTAGATTGCTGCATAGATTCACAGAATATATTTTGGAAAAGACAATCATTCATAGTGTTTTCTTTGAGCATTGTATCTTTTTGATGTCCATTCTATTAGAAAAAGCAAAATTGTATTCAATGGAATGTGTAGTTGGTTTGTACCTATCTTTTTTCTTAATTTATTATGGTCAGGAATGAAAAACACTTTGTAGTCTGTTGCTTGTATATAGCATCCATAGCTCAAGCTATAGTTTACACTCAGAACTAAATGACTCATCTCAGTGACTCAGTCCTAAGTTTTAATTAGACAAGGCCAGCCATGATCTAGGCTGCTAGTGTTTCTCTGTCTCATTAGCTAACTCATAGTGGTCTAGGAATATTTTGTCATGTATTAAATGTTTATTTTTAAAACAAAGAGTTCAGTACAGTAAGGTTGTACCCAGTTTATGAGGCCTCAGGTTGCTTTAATAATTTTAAAATATTTTTTTGTGTTATTTTTTTTTATTTTTTCAAAATTAAAAATCAATTGGCCAGCTTGTGTAACAATAGAAATCAAAATTCAAAACAATATTCACATCCTTTCTGGTGCTCTTCCACACACACTGACTGTTCTGTGACCCAGCACTGGTCCTCTTCTTAATTGATTCACGGTCGATGTCATCCAGCTCACTTCCTGTGAACTCAGGTCTACATGGGAGCCATGCCATCATGTTGGACATGGCTTACAGTACTCCTGGACAAAATGTTCCTTACTTGTTATTACACAAGTGCTGAGCTATCCAGGTGTAAGGACCATTGCCCCCAGAGGAGAACAGAAAGGACCTATAAGTTGGCTTTAAAGATTTAGGGATGGGTTATGAAACACAGGGTTGGGCATTAACCCATAGTATATATTATTATAAATGATATCTATATAACAGAGATCTGTCCACAGCCTTACACAGTGCCAAACAACAATTACTCTGTTATTCCATTAAGCAGGAAGAAGTACAGCATGTGTGTATGTATACTGTATATTACCTATATTAAGTATAGATTCATATATACAGTATATCCCTCTAGTAAGTTCAATGAGTAATATCTATGAATCCATTGTTATAATACAGTTTATTTCAGAGAGTATGCCTAGTTTAGTCATTTACTTTCAGTAAGACTTAATTATGGTAAAAATCCATTATTCTTTAATTATGCTCGAAACAGCTTATCTTTGTCTTGTGGTCTGTTATAGATTATACTTGAAAAGTCACAGCGGAACAGCAGGAAAGCAGAGCAGTCTGATCTTACATGGGGCTGATTTCAGTACAAAAGACGCGGACAACGACAACTGTATGTGCAAGTGTGCGCTCATGCTGACCGGAGGTATGTACAAAGCACAGATGGGGAGTTGTATTCTATTCCTGTTACACATGTGCTCTATTTCTGAATGCTAAAAACTATGCTTTGTATTAGCTCTGTATATTTGAAGAATATAAAGTATATACAGTATATTGTGTATATAGATCGTATTACACGTATATCTCCCAGCATTTTGAAATCAAATACTATGCACTTCTTAACAACTAACAGTCCAAAAGACACATACGAAGATTCTCTAGCTAATAAGCCATGGGCAAGGCTATTCCTACAACCTGGCAAAGAAAGAATCTAACCTCTGAAGGCATATGCTGTAAATGGAAAATGGGTTCCATTAAGAAGCTTTAATACTTTTTACCCAAATCTCATAGAGAAATCCATAGTAGACCCATAATCATTACATTTCCTCTTCTGGCATCTGTGGAGCCATCAGTCACATGGCCACTGCCAAAGTAAAGGATAAGCACCCAAGCTAAGCACCGGATTGGCCTGCTCTTCCTCAGTTTTAGTCTCGCAAATTTCATGAAGGGAACCTACCAATATATATGCCAAATAATGTGTAGGTGCAACACTTTCAGGTATATATTACCTTTCAGAGAGGTCACAGTACTCCAATTAAGCTTTATTTTTCCTCTGAAGCCTGGTGCCATCTTTAATCATCTTCTTTCTGAACTAGAATATTTCCCCTTGATGTAATAATCATATACGTTTTGGTGCAAATGTGATAGCTTTTAAGTTCTGGGCTGCGTAATCAGGTTTTGAATAGATCAGCCACCTACTGCTACCTCTCATCTTTGGATTAGCTACAAAGTTACTGTATATTGTTGCAGTTGTTAGAATGATGACTGGGGGAGAGAAGACTAAGGAAATGCTTCCTCCTTCCTGTAGCAGGCTGATGACATATTTCTTTCAGTTTACTTCTCATAGCCTAAAGAATAATCAGTTGCCTGGACTACTTTTTAATGATTAAAAAATAACAGCTTTTTCTCCGAAAGTATACTGCTGCTGTATATTGTGATATGTCAGGAATTTTTCCATACAGACTTTTCAAAAGTTACTGATAGGTCCACTTAAAGGATAGAGCAGATGTCTAATGTTGCTTTGGTGTTGGAAGAGTTTGGCATTGGAAGAGTTACAGAATAGTGTTTTTTACATATTACTTTTTGCTTATCTTTTTATACAGAAGGGTGATCACTATAGAAATGTATTTTTCTTATATTATGGTTTGTTTTTTAAAAGTTTAGGCACGCAATGGAAATTATAAATCTGAAAGTGCCCAAGACACAGTTTTAACCTAGCCACACCAGGCCAAGAAACTAGATTTGTACAACCCTCTTAACCTACCTCCAAACCCATCTTTTTATCTGTATAAAGCTATAGATAGCTTTACAAATAATAAGGCAGAACATATACAGCTGTATACGCTTTCTTATACATCTCTCAGAGTGAGAGCCATGAATATTTTTCCATCCAAATGACTGCTTAACTCTAGGCTAAACATAACTGCAATATATAGGGTAACAAGATGAATGCGAATTGTTTTCTTACAATTATATTGTCATCTCACGAGGACATCAATGCTGGTATTGTTGTGTTGATCTCTAAGCTATTATTAAACTGCATGCAAATTATTGTTATTTTGTATCTATTTCCATGCATAGAAGTCACTTAGTAGACCAAGAAGAGATTCTACATAGAAACAGTACAAGCAGCCTTTTGTTTCTTGCAGTCTTACTGTAGAACGTTGTGTTTTTATTGGCTGTTGCTTTGTGCCATTAACAGTTCATATCACTCATCTGCAGAAACTCCTTTGAAAAGTGACTTTAGAAGGACAGAGTAAATATTTAGATTATTACTGATTATGTTATTCATTTGTTTGAGTTCTTCTTTGATGGCTTTAATATTATTATCACAAAAACACGGTCATTTTCATTGGTTGGACTGCACTGTTTGCTGTTGACATGAGCTTGCTCTCTTCAGCCTTTTTCATTTTTCAAACATTTCCGATGTCTAATTCCCCTGGTCCTTCACTAGCACTTTAGTTTGACACAATACTGATGGATTTGGTGAAAGACGTGAACATGTGCAAATATACATTGCTTGTTATACATGTGTACTTTTAACCATGACAAAGAATAAAGTGGAAAATAAAGACTCTTTATTTAATATTAGATTAACGTGTTTAAAGAACGTCAACACACTTTGCGTGCCATTTAGTGTGTGTTATACAAATTTCCTCATATGGGGATCACATACTTGGTAAAAGTTCTCAAAGTGTAAATGCATTCTGAACAGACTGCTAAAACGTCATAGATGGTCCCTGTAAATCGTGCATATTTTGCCTAATGGTGCATTTGCAGTATTTGTTAAGCTGGCCATACACCTTACAACCATCGCACAACTTTCATTGTGCAATGGTTGTAAGGTCATTAAAATTTCGTACGACCTGCCCATCTTGGACAGGCAGATCGTACTTGCGATCATCGCAAGCTCTCCCCGCAGAGGGGAGGGCTTGCCGATGATTGCAATGCTGAGCGGGCAGTGTGCGCTTGCGGCCTGTGCAGCTTTCGTCTTTCGAGCACGCTACCAACCCGCCGAAAATCATACGATTTTCGGCGGGTTTTCCAGCGTGCCAGGAAGACAAAAGTCGTGCGACCGTACAGTAGATGCGGTCGCACGCTGCCCATACACCTGCCGATTATTGTAAGATCGCAGGATCACCGACGATTATCGTACGATAATCGGCAGGTGTATGGGCACCTTTAGGGCGTCAGTAAAAGATCACCTTTTACACTAAATCACTGGAACCTGTAGGCACACAACTTTTGGCACCTTAAATTGACCCTGTCGTGAATAGTTTTTTATTTAAACTGCCATTACCTGTAAAAGAAAGCAGTAAATACTCACCTTTCTCTGTGCCTGCTCTGCTGAACACCACACCAATCACTAGACTTATTCCCCCCAGATTCCAAGGAAAACTGACTCATCTGGAGTGTCAGATCTCCTGGGTCACAGTGCTCACTGGTTCCTCCCTCTGAGTTCATGTCTCTGAATTAGTGGAGTCAGTTAGAGCAGTCGAGGACCCAGAAGATCATCATTCCCAGCAGGCTTTAGGGAACCAGTTCTAGTGATTGGGCAACTGCAGTGTTTTGGTTGTTTATATAATGGGGGGGGGAAATTTCTGCCCCGGGCGCCCAGAACTCTGGTTACGCCACTGGGCAACTGTTCAATGTTTAGCTGCTGTTCTTATTTTAAATACTGCAGGGATATCCATTATTTTCAAAGTCTTAGGCTGGAGTTGGGCTTTAGCATCGTATGTTACAATGACATAATTCTGGCACTATGTATTGTTGGAAAACAATGGTATAAGCAATGAAGTTCCCCTTTAAAAGTGATAAGAGCTTTTATCACATACTGTGAAAAGTGTGCATATGGGCACATACTGAACTGACACTTGTACATAGCACAGAACAGCAAGCTGGTTCCCTACAGACAATCTGGTCAAGTACTGATGGATGGAGAGCAGGTCCACGTCAGGTCTACTTAGACTTGTTGTGACAGTCGGCAGTAGTTTCTTTGAAGTCCAGTGCTTTAATTCTGAAGAATCAATGCTTTCCATCAACTTGTTTATAGTAATATATTGTGTTATGTTAGTTGGTCAAGAAATCAGCAAATGAGTAGAACCATTGTTTTCAGAGCAATTATGCAATCAGGTTCCTTTATAAATATTTTTTGTTATTTATAGAAACTCACACAATATCTATCATTTGTGTCAGACATCAAAATATTATTTTACATAAATCCTGCCTTAGGTTTCTCTGGTGTTGCTCTTGTTATTGCAGCTAGAATACAAAAGGGCCTGGTTCATTTGATCTTAGTAACATGAAAAGAAGGTTATCAAATAATTAGAAAAAAAGGAAGTCAAACATTAAAGCAAAGCTGTGCTTTTGCCCATGCAGAGCTAAGGAACTGGCCATTTTATTGCCCCTTCCCAGCAGCATATACTTACTTTTATTTTACTTGTCCACTGCTCCGTTCAGTCCCAGGATCAACTAATTCCCAGTACTTCTGGTTACGGGAAGCAGGCTATTTACTCCCTTTCTGCGTGTGTGACAGCTGATAGGGCCAGCCCTTGTCATGTGTGATCAAGGAGAAGATCCCCAATCCTAGTAAAATCAAATATTATCTGACATATCGGGGGGGATTTACTAACCTAAACACAAGCACGCACCAGGTGCGTGTGATTTTCACACAGCAAAACGTATTTATCAACCAAAAAGTCTCTAAAAGCATATTTCCACTAATGCCATATATGGAAAAATCATGCACATGATGCATATATAATGCTGCTTCACAGTTTAGACAAAAATGGTTAGCTCATGCATTTACATTCCTGCATTCATCAACGCAAGCAACATAACATAGAGCTAATTTACACCACATTACCTTGCAATTCATTGCAGGGCTTTGCACAACACACCTGCTGGGTGTGTAAACACTACAAAGGTGTTTCGATTCCTCCCATAGATCATGCTGGGAGGGAACACACTACAGAGGTGTATACACGTTCGTGGTGTGTTTAAAAGGTTAGTAAATCAACCCCATCAAGTTGATTTCTCCACTTTAAATTTAGGTTCACAGAATCACAGTGATGAAGTTTTGATGGGAATCATTCGCTACCAATGCCAAAATAGAAAAAAAAATAATAACCATGCAGTGGCGAGAGGGCCTTTTCATACTGCTTTGAGGGCTGCATTGAAAATACACAATTTCTTTAAATTACATACTTTGAGGATAACGTGGTGTTACAGAACAGCACAATTTTTTCAGACAGCCTCAGTGACAGTGTTTGTGGAATTTATTTTAATACAATGAGCTCGGTTTTCAAAGATTAGCAGCACCCCAATCTAAGTTTCATCACAGTTTTAAGGCCCCATTCACATTAGATCTGTTAGCATCTATTTTTCTATTTTTCATTGGATGCCAAGGCAAGGACCACTGAAAATGAATATATATATATATAGTTATTGATTTTTACACTAAGTTATATAAGTGATTGGTTCTGCCTTTCGTTGACACTAGTTAGCAGTTCACACCAGTCCATTGCATTAAGCTGCCCTAAAAAATAGAGCAGGATCTACTTTTTTCAATGCAACGGACTGGTGTGAACTGCTAATTCGTGTCAACGGAAGGCAGTACCTATCCCTTATATAATTTAGTGTAAAAATCAAACACACCCCCCCAAAAAAACGCAAAGTAATGAAATGCAACATAACATAACGTAATGCAATACAATGGATGTCAATGGACTGTGCAAACTCAAGTCATCGTTCCTCCGCTGACTTATGTTTTTGGCACCAATAGTTTGTTTCCAGTGTGAATGTACTCTTAATCAATTACAACTAAAGCAGTAATAGCTTGCTAAAAAAAATAGCCAATGGCACAAAAGTTTGATGGTATACTTTGTTAGTACCGCCACCGCACTGCATCATCTTAAAAGTGTTTTAAAGTATTTTTATCTGAGGTGTATGGAATGCCTAACTTTTATTTTTACTATGGCGATAGGGCGGTAAATATGTAATAAGAACAAAAAACAGCTCCAGGTGAATGACGGGCTTTGCCTATCAGCATAAAATAAAAACCAATAAACCCAAAAAGAAAAGAAAACCCCAAAATACAACCCCTCTGAAAAAAAGAGTGTTTGCCATTAAATAGACAGCTGCTAAAAGTGATCACTGGAGGCAACTGCACAAAGAGCTAGAAATCAGAGGAACCCATGATAGCAATAATCTAAACCTCACCTCCGTGTAACCGGGCGCTAAGGGCTGGTGGTCACTTATCCTGTATTTTTTTTTTTTTGCACCACCTCTGATTTGGTTCCTGATGTTGTTCTGCCCTGATGTCAGCTATTCTTTGGAGAGAGCACAAAAGCAAGCTGAAGGGCACAACAGTGCATCTTTTCCATTACTATACTTGCCTGTTACATACATTTGCTAGACGTGCAGATTTCAATACCAGAGGCTTTGTCTCGAACCCATGGCAGCGACAAACCCAAACTTCATCCATATGTATAACCTTAACAATTTTATCAATTTTAGGTGGACTGACCATTTAACATTTTAGTAGTCTGAAATGATTCATAATAAAGAGTTGTACATATACTTATTCATGTGACTAAAGATTAATTAACAGATTTATCTCTCTTTCACTATTGCTCCCAGTGGTGTTGTTGTGTTGTTGATGATAGGAACGACATGGAAATAGAAACATGCCAAATATTTTGCTGTAAATCTTTCCCTGTAGACTTATAATGAAGTGTTACCTCAAAGGAAAACACAGAGTGGATTATGAGGAGAGATCAATACAGAGTGATAACTTCTTGATACAATGGCCAATGTTAACTCTGTACTCATTTCCCTGGCACCCAGCCCTTGTCATCTCCATGGAGATAAATGATGTACCGTCTCTTTTGATGGATTACCTAGAAACAGAAATCCATGAGAAGGGGCACAGAATGGAGGTTGGGAGTCTGAACAGAATCTCTTTGGATTTAGCCATCAGAGAGGTTACAATACAAAAGCAACTTGACATGTCAGCGCTATATTGTAAAGTGCTGCACAAACTGTTAGCGCTATATAAATCCTGTATAATAATAATAATAATAATGTCAGTTACAAATATTCCTTGCAACTAAATTAATATTTTTAATGTTATATACAGTACAGCTTTAAATTGTGATTCAACCTTTGCGAGTCTTGAGAGAATTTGAAAGAACTATGCACGGTATACTTACATATTATGTCAGTTTGCCTTCCTCACAGAAAAATAATTCAATAACAATTGTAATTGTGTAACAATTTGTGCTAAAAACAGAGCTTTTAGTTGCACAACATTTGCAAACATTTGTAAGCCACTCTGCCTCATCAAGGTTTCTCTGTGTAGTGTTGTCCTAACTCAAATCTATGAGAGCCTCCATCTTGGAGAATATATAGCAATGGATACATTTGAATGTAGATATGCCTAGAGCTAGTCCTCCCCTCGTTAAAGGCACAGTGACACACCAGAGGCCCAGCACAGGCCGGTGGAAGCTGAAGATCCTCAAGATGCCCCGACAACAAATCCAGCAAGGTTAACAGAAATGGCAACCACACCAATCAATGTATAACTAGCATGTATGCAAACCTTTGGTGTCTGCATAAAAATCATGTCAAGTCATTACATCTATCATGTTGTTCCGCATGGGTTAAGACAAATGATTGATTAGATGAAATACTTTTTGGGGGTGATTTTTTATAACTGAAGAAAATAAAATAAATAGCAGAAGAATAAATAAATAAAATAATAAAAGAACAACACTGAGTTATGGCTGGTAACAACCAATTAGGTTTCACCTCTCATTTTATACACACCATAACGCCATTCAGTCCTAAAGGGCAATAACTCAACTTTAACTCCATTTTAATTTCTTCAGAATGGTTTTATTTTTTTAATACATTTGTTTTAATGATAAAACTGCTTTCAATGTTGACTGTGCAAAGGCAATTCTCAGAAGGTATTTTTACATGTGAGAAAGAAATGAATGTTCCACAACACTATCCAACTAACTAGCCAACAAATAAATTGCACAGTTCAAATGTAGATTTAGCCCTCATTCACACCTAAAATGTATATGCATTTAGGGATTCCTGCTTCAGGAACTTGTGATTTCCTACAGCAGGAATCCCAAATCTGCTGCTTACAATTGGCAGCTGTCACCCATTTAAGTTAATGATCAGGTGACAGCGGCCACATTTGAAATACTATTACATGCGGTTAGGAAGAGATCACTATCTCTGGACACACGATCGATGCGTCCAGTGATAGTGATTGATTTCCAACTGCATGTAAACATATTACATACAATTACATGCAGTGTGCCAGCATTCTGCCGATTTCAAATGCGCCCACTGTCACCTGATCATTAACTTGAAAGGTTGACAGATGCCACTTGTAAGTGGCAGAATTGGGATTCCTCCTGCAGGAAATCACAAGTTCCTGATGCATGAATCCTAAAACTCACTTACATTGAGGGTGTGAATGAGGGCTTTTAAAGCAATGTAACAATCATGTAAATGCTGTCTATAGATTCCAGGTGCGGTAAAGCTGTGTGTGTAGTCTTACCATTCATTTTGTTTATAAAGTAGCCACATACAAAATAGCTAGCCCCCAGCCTTCATGCTGCAGAGAAGGATCGTTGCTCTGTATTTGGCAGCTGTGGTCTCTGCAATAGTTTGACACATTGCCTGTGAGTCTGAGCTAGAGCTCTCCAATAAGCAGGGAGCATGACATTTGCCCTTGCAGAGAGACCATGGCTTCCAAACAGAGGGCAGGGATCATTCCCTGGGTACAGACTGTGGTTGCTTTACAAACTAAAGGTATGGTAAGTCTTATTTTTTTTTAAGTTTAATCTTTTTTGATTGTTTTTTATTTCATGAATATTTACTATAGTTAATATATATAATTGTCTAATCATGAATATGTTCTTTCTGTTTCCTTATACAGGTTGGTGGTTTGATGCCTGTGGTCCTTCTAACCTTAATGGGATGTACTACAATGCTGGCCAAAATCATGGAAAACTGAATGGAATAAAATGGCATTATTTCAAAGGGCCAAGCTACTCTTTGCGTTCAACAACGATGATGATTCGACCTTTGGACTTTTAGCTCAGAAGAGCAGGACAATGGAATACCCTCAGTCATGGGAAGTTTCTTTGTATTTTATATCAGTTGTGGAAATATTGAAATGACTTACAGTATTCCCAGCACACATAAGGGAATCCGTGTGATGGTTTGCTGAACTCCTTTTGGAAATATATCTTCACAATCAAAGCTGCTGGATCTACAGCAAACAACTGCAAAAAGAAAAAATGGTTGAGCCATTATGGATCTGTTCTTCATTAACTCAGCACTGAACTTGCCACATGATAACAAGTACTATATATCTTATGGTATAAAAACTGAGAAGTCAGTATGTTTTGAGGATAAACTACATATTACCTAAAAATTGTCAACAATCATGTGGACTGGGGGGAAAAAAAAAACGTTTGCATCAACGCACATATAGAACATTCTGGTTCATGGTATTTCTATATTTTTCTATGGACTTTTTCAGCAGACTGTTTTAATGGGCTGGATCTGTAGATATGCATCAAATCTATCACTATACTTTCAAAATTAAAATGTGAATTTGTTCCCTTAAGTATTAAAAACTGAACCTTTTATAATTTGTTCAAAGTACTTGGGGTTCTTAGCCACAAAAACTATCATAACAAAAAAAAACAGTGTTGCCAAAAACAACCAATCTAATTCTTCCATCAATGTGATTGGTTGGAGTGAAATTCCTGTTTTACAAGTAAATGTGTTTTGTTTAAAGGCTTCTTAAGGCAGGAATAGATGAGAAAATGAACAGGAGGGATAACGAAAATGTACCTACTACCCAAATACACAGAAATAATCACAAATATTTATCAGTAACTCACTAGGTAACAGCAACATAACTGAGGTACCAGTGGTAGAAAAGTTAATCAAAATGGGCCTGGATGAGTATGAACGCCACACATAGCTGGGGTGATTATATTTTAAGATGGGAAGGGGTGGCAGGTACCATTATTTTATGATCTTATCACAAACATCCATGGGCGTGCGGGTAACTATGGCCCATGAAGGCAGATCCTTGAAATCCACCCTGGGTATAAGCCATGTTTAAGAAGGTGTTATAGACATCAGAGGCATCACTGTTGCATCATATCAATATAAAAGTATATAGGAGCTGGCACTGGAATCCATTGAGATGTTCAGAAAACCAAATACATATGTCACCATCTGGGATGAAGTCCAAAGGCGCTAGTGGAACTTTGGGTCTCTTCATCCAAAGAGAAAATGTGGAGTTCCAAATAAAGAGTTGAGTAGCTTCAAGTTGAAAGTTTCCACTCATTAAACCCCCCAAAAAGCTAGGATTTGTTTCTTTAAGCTTCCAGGCGTCTTCATTTCTCACTCCTTTTTTTTCCCCTTTGAATGTACCTCGCTAATGTCACTAGTTCCTCAGGGTTACTAGTTCCTAGTGAACCAAATGGACTGCATTTTTGAAACTACTGCTTCAACTCACAAAAGTTCTGGCTCGGGGTTACCGCTCCTAGCATTGAAAATTCACCCCGAGCCAGACTCGGGAATACCGCCAGGGAGGTTAAGTAAAAAAATTTAAAAAAAAGATGGAGCTGTGGCATGCAGTAAAATGCTTATTTTGCACCAGTGCACCAATTTTCATACAGTACAGCAGTCTCAAAATGGCTGCCACAATCATTTCTGGAAATACATTGTCCATGTTGTTCAAAGCAACCATTAAGAGACCCATCTTAACATTTGATCTAATTAAGAATAATGACAGCTGGTATATTAGTAACTATCAGAAACACAGAAGACTTTCTTTGTACATCAAGCCCAATGACCGAAGTGCAGAGTGGTACAGCTGCTGTCAGAGTAGGCTTGTGGAATACTGGGGTATCTGCAAAAATATCATGTCACTCCTAGGCCCAAGTTATTTGTATGAATATAAGGTAGGAATTGTATGGTTCTTACAACTGCTCTGTATGTTATAACAGGGAAGTGTTTTGCACCAGGTGGTGTTAAACGTGAGTGGGGCTTAGATGGATGGGACAATGCTTTGCGTTGCTGATACTTAGCACATTTATTAAATTTTGTTCGACTTTTTAACAAAAGGGTAGATTCACTATGGCTGGTATGAGTTGCTGTAGTGAAGAGTGCACAGAGACTGACACGTATGAATATAAGACAACAAACATACATATCTGCATGTCAAAATTGACGTTTGAACTGGAAAGCATGGACAGTAAAATCAAATTGTTTCGCCACATTTTCCCCATAGCAGGCTACTGAGGAGGCCCTATGTGTAGTATACAGTTACCCCTTCAGACAAAACCAAAGCACACCTGCACGACCATTCTGTACTATATAGTTCACATATATATTTCAATAAGATTACAACAACATAATTATGAGTTTGTAAGCACAAGTATCACACAGAAGAATCAATCCAATCAACTCAATTTTCATTGTACCAAACAGCAATGCAGTATTACGGGACAGACAAAGGTTCAAACGATACAAAGGTAGTTGTGAAAAAACGTTTTTTTACACTTTTACTTTTTTCATAGCTTTGTTTATCTATAATAAAGCTTAGTATACATGTATGGAGTATGGTTGTACAACATATATAATGTGCATATGTCAGTGCAAAATAAAAGGACTTTCTGAAATCAAATTACAAAATCTGAAAGTATTCAGATAGATAGCCACCAACCTATTCTGAAAATGTTTAATACATTTCTCTTTAAAAAATTAAAGGAAACCTGTACATAGATAACTATGGAACCTCTGCGTAATAGTCCTATTTAATTTAATGTCGGTCCTTCCCGAGTCGCTGTCTGGAACAAGAAATAGGGGCCAGAGAAGATAAGCATATTTGTTCCAGATCTGTACTAAAACCAGAGATGGAACCAAGTTCCTGCCAACCCGTTGGAATTTCAAGAAGTGCATGACACGCAGCTAAAGTCAATCAGTTGCTTTTAGGCTAAATTCACTAAGCTATAATATACCTTATTTGCTAAAAAAAAACGTATTTTCATTAAGGAGATCTGAGGAATAAAAATCACATGGCAGAAAATAAAGAATGTTAGGGCTCATAACACATTATGTTTACTAGATTAAGCCATTTAACTTTTGCTGTCAATTAATGCAAGCTCAGTCCATAGAAGTCATAGCAAACTATAGAGAGCAAAGGAGGCATGCAAAGAGCAATAGCAAATTGCAATCAGATTTCAGATATAGCAGATGATTGTAGTGAGATGATTCGTTGGTAATTGCATTTGCCACTCATGACACTTCACATTTATTGAATAAACTCACTTCACTTTTTCTACAAAAAAGATATTAGAAATGTATACTGCCTATTCACTCCCAACATCTCACCCTTACTCAGTTAAAGTTGTGTGTTCATTCCCTTTAACGTGGACTTTTAGAATTAGATGAATATACATTTAAATGCTGTAATAAAAAGTGTCTGAAAGTGCCAAGAATGTTACCTTAATAAATGAGAACTTGTGCTGTGACTGGTGTTTAGGCAGAACAGACTAATCAGTCAGCAATCATCTCCCCCTTTGGTAGAAACCTGTAGTATTGGTCATGTGACCTTGTGGCAGCACTTCCTTGGCTTAAGAGACATCAGCACTTTCAGCATGGGAGTCAATTGTTTACTTAAAATTAGATACAGTTTAAAGTCATAGGTCCACTCCAACATTAAGAAAAAAAGATGTCAAACTCAACATTTTCATCATGTTCAGAAATGCCCATAATTTCTTCAAATAATCCACATCTTTCTCATATGATATAGGCAGACATTGCATGCTTTTAGGCCTACAATTGTTCTATAAAAGCTATTCATTATATCCTCTTACAATTTTCCACTAATTCTTAGCAGATATTGTAGAAATGTCTGCATTAATTATGATCAAGGGATCCTGTGGAACATAATCCACATTTTGTTTCATAGTGTTTTCTCCTGCAGGTTCGGGAGTCCTTTTTATATAGGAGCCATTGATCCATACTACCACCTCTCTTCTAAATTTGTACTTACAGGAACTGTGTGATGTAAAGTGTAGCAAAGCATGATCATCTGTATAACAAATGCATAGGGTAAGCCAAATATAATAGGAATTTATTGAGTGTTTGATGCAGTAAACAAACTATTTAAGGAGATATCTGCTAATGATCTTGATAAAGACTTTATTTTTATATGATAAAATGCCCTACAGCATTTCTAATTGGTTTGCATCTTTGAGACTTACAACATTGGTAAAGGTCTTTAATTGCTGATATAAATACAGAAGAAGTCGCATTACTACCAGCCAAGAATTAAAAAAAAGATCCTTAGGCCAAAATGTAATTTCTACCATCAGAAGTGACAGGGGTCCTGCAGAGTACCAGGAATATCATTATTGTAACATTCTTGTCTTTAGATCTCAGAGACATGATGACCTGTTATGTGTTATAGTGTGTCTTAATAAACAATAATCAATTATGATGTATTTACTCTCTCTTATTATCTAAACTGATGACCACAAACAGAACAATGATAAGTTAAGATTTCAGTCCACCCAAGCTTAATATTTCATATGTGGGCAGACTAGTAAAATGAGCAATACACCCTTTGTATATCTTTTGGGACTTAACTCTGTTCCCCACACGAGCAGTGCAGTTCTCATGCCTACCTTCCCTGTAATGTGAAATAAATTCAAGGTCTACCAGAGAGAATAAGACCTCTTTAAAATGGCAACAGACCAGGAGAGAAGACCATACAACAGAATGTGGATGTAAGTCAAAGGCGATTCAGGGATAAAAACTCTGTATTTATTGCAATGTATGTTGGGAACCTTTACAGGGCTATTCATTAAATGGTGAAGAGTTTGGATAAGCAGGAGAAGTGAATAATCTAGGCCAAAATAGCTGATTTGGAAACATTCTCCAATTCAGCTCACTTTCCAGTTCAGCTATGTTGTCCTAGATTGGTCACTTCTCCTGCCTTCTCCAAACTCTTCACCCTTTAGGCCTGGTTCACACCTGGGCGTTTTGTAGCGCGTTCGAACGCTCTGCAAAACGCTCAAACACCGAAATCCCATTATTTCCTATAGGTATGGTTCACACCTGGGCGTATTACAGGCCGTATGAACGCGCTAAAAAACGCCCTACGCCCAAAGAAGTACAGGAGCTTCTTTGGGGCGTTTTTGTAGCGCGTTTCCATTGGGATACAGCCAAGTAGCCCTTGGAAACGCTAGGTGTGAACCATACCCATAGGAAATAATAGGATTTCGGTGTTTGAGCATTTTGCAGAGCGTTCGAACGTGCTACAAAACGCCCAAGTGTGAACTAGTCCTTACTGAATAGCCCTGTTAGTGTCAATGAAAACATTCACACCTGTCAAGTTGTACAAACTAGCAAGCTATATCATTATGTAAATTCCAGTCTGAGTGTTAGTAAAAAAGTGAGTGTAAGGAGAGGTATGGTAGGTAATCTTTTGCAGGGCCATGATGGCTTTGAGGCCTGGTTGGCTACCAACGGTGTATTGAAATCCTACCTGGGAATCTATTTACAATGTAAATGGAATGAAAGCTATACAAACCATTGGTTAACTCAACATGCCTTATCTACCCACAACTAAAATGTTATCTTTGGGCAGACGGAGCCCGTGTTGCACTGGAAGAGAATGAGATCTAACTGTTCTAATGCATAAATAATAGGCAACAATAAATTATATCAAGTAAAGATTTTACTTTGACCCCCCTTTAACTTGGAGAGTAAATATTCCTCAGATGCCTCATTATAATTGATAAAGTGTTCTGATCTTCCCTAAAGGCTCCTACCTTTGTTTTTACTGCATCTAGCGCCCAAAACAGAGCAAGTCATGTCATTCTGTATGTGGACCGAGTGAGAGTAATGTCATAGAATCATTCTAGGTTTCTGTTAAAAACCGATCTTTAAGCTAATCTCCGGGTTATTTATGTTTTTGCTGTACTGAATTCTGCAATCTGTAATATCAAAACACATCTTTCATATTTACAACGTGCTTTATGTGTTGATTTCATGTAATAAAGTATGTTAAGAATTAAGTGAGTACATTGTGGGCATTTGCTATTACCAAATGTATTTTGCATGGAGATAAAATCAACCAACAGAAAGATGTGTGAAGAGTAATGCCACTGAAACTTAATGAGTCAAGTTTTGGGAAGACTCGGCCAAGCTTTATTAACCAAGAATCTTTAAAAAAAAGATCCTTACTCTGTAGCTATGGTAAAATACCCTTGCAAAGTGCAAATTCCCTTGCAAAGTAAACTGCATATTTGCCGTTAATCAACCCCATAGTCTTAAATGTCAATTGGTGTCAATACTATTATTATTATTATATATTGTTTAAATGTACCATACATGAGAAAACATAATGAATACATATAGTTAGTATATGGTCCATTCCAGTATAATAACTGTATCCATCACTCGTTAGCTGCTATTAACACATTCAAGCCCCAAGGCAACATGTATAGATAAATAAGAACATGAGCTTGCTGGGACCTTGTTGCCATGGAATAGTAACCAATCACTTGCCTTGCCTATAAGATATACCCAGTTCAAAGCCAAGTACGGAATGTCATGACCATAGCAAGCATATAGATGGATGTAAGTGGTGTAAAGGCCTCCCCACCAATGAACCTTTGACCTTAGATGAACAATGGGTTAAAGTTTGGCTTGGGAAACTTGCTACTTTGCTTATGCTAAATAAATTAATTAATTACCAACTAGCTGCATGTTTTGTAATCACCCCATAGGTTATATATACAAATCCCCTTCATTACATGTATATAAGTTTGCTTTTTCTACAAGACATCCCTTTGAAGTGGTGCTATATACTTTTATTTTGTAAACATTCATTTTGCCTTGGTATGCTAATAAAAAGATTTCCAGTTCAATTCAAAAGTGTATTTACTGTAACAATTAAAATGGGTTAATGGGTCAACCACATGGCACTCATTTTTAGCACTCCATGTGCAATATTCCTTCTGGAGGATTCTGCAGCTGCAGGGGACCTCTCAGACTATTTTGCTGCATACTAGTTGCAGGTTATCATCTCAATTGCTGTAAAGCAAAACTGTTCAGTGCCCCAGAAATAGTATGCATTGGAGAATGGACATTATGATATGTTTATTGCAAGTAAAAATATGACATATATGAATGAACCTGTCACTAGCATTAACAATTTTTTTGTCTTTCTTTAGTTCCATATGTAGCATAATTGTATTATCTGTTGATCCTGCTAGTAGATCTGTTTTTTTTCCACTTCCCGTGGAAAACACAGTTGCAGCACAGTCCCATTGACTGTAGTGTTCACATTTGGCAAGTGGCACCACCTGCCAAATGCAACATGCTGTTTAAAATGTTACATGATGCAAAGCACCATGGCTGTGTCATGTGTACAAGCATACTTTTATCTAGTTGCCTGGAGTTTAGCTTAAGGCCTCATTCAGACGGGGTGTACACGTCCGTGCGGCATGCACGTCCGTAAATGGGCCGATCCCGTTTAATTGCACACAGCAAGCTGTTCTTCCCTATGGGAGGACACGGCTTTATGCTGTCATCCACACACCCAAACTTGCACATCTGTGCAGGTCCATGTGTCCTCACGTGGACGCAGACAGTGTGCGCCGCATGGATGTGTATGCCCCATCTGAATGAGGCCTTAATGTGGACTGTGGAATGAACCATAGAACTTGAACCCTGAGTGGTGTAAGCCTGATTTGATTTCATGCTCTTGGACCCACAGACCATTGATTTAAGGGCCAGGGTGTTTCTGGAGTGTAACTACTTTGTGCAGTTTTCAAGATCCAGGCTGCATTGCTGAAAATACTAAACTGAGCAGATGTGCCCTGGAAAATTGTTACATTTCTTTCACATTGTTATTAAATTAACTGGATACTTGATATCTGTTACTAAAAAGCAAACAATAACCATGGCAAACAATGAAGGAACATAATTCTCTCTGGTTACATTTTTGTTTATTATGGTAATTATTTCAATTACCACAATAAACATAGGAAAGAAGAGTTACTTGATGTCTAAAAACTAAAAACCTTTGTTGCATTTTATTTAATAAATCAGTAGGAAAGAGTAGTGGTTTCTAGTCTCGTAGGTAGTGTACCACTTACTCTACTTTTTCAATACTTAAAGATATGTAAAGGGAAAAACCTATTTTTAATTGCAGACAGGGTAGGGAAAGGTTAGACCCTCTTCCAAGTTTGTATGGTTGTCTGTGTCCCCGATAGGAAGATTCAACCTCTCTATTTGTCCTGATAACCATTGTCACAGAGACAGAAAGTGGCCAGAAATCCTACATTTCCTGACATGAGAGTAAGAGGTGAGGGAAAATCCTCCAATTAAAACAAATCTTCAAGAAATAACTAGCTAAGATGAAAATTCCCATATTTCTTGGGAGATTTCCTCAAAATTTCTGTTTGTCTCCAAGACAGAAAGTGAAAGGAAATGTCCTCAGCAAGGTACACACGGCAAAAAAAAAAGAAAACATCCTGATAGGGGTTTTAACCATTCCCTACTCTGTCTTAAAGAAATATTTTCATGTTTTGTTTACTATAATGAGCCTTCTGAATCTCCAGCTGTCCTGCACTCCCTTGCCCCTATAGTTATCATCCTACATTTAGCCACAAATGTCCAGAGGTGAGCAAAAGTGAGTGAAAAAACATTTATCTCAATTCGTTAAAAAAAATTTCCTTGCATTGTCTCACTAGAAATTAGGTCTCACTAGAAATACTCTTTGGGGTTTGTGTCTACCATGGGTTCATGGCAAACCCTGTTTGTTTGCAGACCTGTCAGATTAAGGTGGCAATTTGCCCACTCAAATTCAATGCAATAATAATTAATGCACAGCAAAGATATTTTAATTTAGGTAAACTGGTTTAGGAGGGCAAAAAATGGGGGTGTTTTATTATATGCCAGCCCCCTCACTGTAAAATGTAGAAGGGACACAGTTCAGCCATAGTATTAGTGTATTGGAAGCTGTTGCATAGAAAGGATAGTGAAAGCTGGCAAACTGTTTAGGAAAATGTTAGGCTCTGTTAGGAAACTGTACTTTAATTATGATTGCCAAATCTCTTGGCAATAACCCCATTTGCTGCTCTTCTTATTATTGTTGTGGGCTTATTTGTCTTTAATTTTATTTTGTGGTTAAAGGTCAGCACTCACTGAATTATATTATATATTTTGTATGATTTTAGATGAATCTATTTTTTCCGTAGAAAAATAACACAAAGTGGGCTTTTATTTCAGAGGTTTTTTTTATGGGGTAGGGGGTTATTTATTTTTGGGATATATTGTTTCTTTTGTATGTTGATAGGGCCTTTTATTAGCCTAAACTGCTTTTTTTGTGCTAAGCTTTCCTTCAGGGGTGGTATTTTGGGGATTTCATTTTATTTTTTTTATCTCGATAAGGTCTCTTTTAAAAAAGTTTGGGGTGCTCAAAGCATGGCATGTTCAGGGGTGGTATTTTGGGGATGTCATTTTTGTTTTTTATCTCGATAAGGTCTCTTTTAAAAAAGTTTGGGGTGCTCAAAGCGCAGCATCATTTTCTTGTTGTCATTCTCTTCTGGTTGATGCCTTTTGTTTGCAGCACACTTTTAAAGAAAAAAAAAAACACAGTAAAAAAAACAAGTAAAATCAATGTGCATCAAAATAACCGCACACTATCATCCATATTCACTGCACCCCTCTATACCATAGTAAAAATAAAAGTCAGGCATTGGTTAGGTCAATTATCTATAATTAAAACTGTCCTGCTGCAAGTATGTGTTTGTGTTTTATTTAAATGAAAGTATTTTTTTCATGGTGTTGACGTATTTATTTACTTCTAACATTTTAACGGCTGGAGCACGTGCTGTTTGCTTTTTTTGTTTCACAAATCCAGAAGTGTTAACTGCATCAACTCTAGGTATCCTCTGCTTTGCTCGAATGCAAGGCCATTCTGATCAGGCAGAGTTTAGACACAATGTAGGAGCCCTGCCCAATGTAGGAGCCCACACTAAGCCCTGCCCCCATCACAATCACGAATGGTCCATGACAATTATAAGTGGCCAATAGGAGTGCATGAAAGGTGGGAAGGGCTTAGAAAGCTGCAGCAGTATAAAGAAGTCATGATAAGGCGAGGAGGCGGGACTGTGGCATAGGGTGTTCAGCATAGCAGGCTTTATCTTAATGCTAGAAAGTCATATAGAACAGAAATAGTAGATTAACAGAGTGTACACAGGGATGTCCTGAGGCCGGGTGTCCCCCGGAGTGAATACCCCTGTGTGACATCACAGAGCATGCGCATGATGTCATCACACACAGTCACGATGATGTCACGCACCGTTGGCCATCTTGGTGATGGCCACTAGCAGAGAGAGGAGGGGACGTTAATCTAGCGGCATAAGGTATGCTGCCGGGTCCCTTCCTCTCTTCTGCAACTGTCGGACTCTTGGTCCATGACCGAGTGCCGAGTGCCTGACTTTTTAGAGGGGGTAAAAAGAAAGACGTCACCAGCACTCCAACCACGATAATAACACCAATTAGATGCTCATTTATTGACAGGTGCTGTCTCTCATTGGCAAGGGCTTTTCGGGGGGCCACACAGGGTCCCCTTCGTCAGGCTCATCTCTGAGGTCACCCCAAAGATTGATTGGAAGAAGGCAAAGGGGGGTCACCCAAAATATTGATTGGAAGAAGGCAAATGGGGTCACCCAAAATATTGATTGGAAGAAAGCAAAGGGGGGTCACCCCAAATATTGAATGGAAGAAGGCAAAGGGGGTCACCCCAAATATTGATTGGAAGAAGGCAAAGGGGGGTCACCCAAAAGAGCCTGAGCCTGTCGAAGGGGAACCTGTGCAGCCCGGAAAGTGCTTAACCAATGAGAGACATCATCTGTCCATAAATGAGCATCTAATTGCTATTATTATCGTGGTTGGAGTGCTGGTGACGTCTTTCTTTTTGTCTACGTGTGGTGGCGCCATCTGCAATCATTTCGAGCACCTGTCTTTTTTGGGGGGAGTCCCGGTAAGGAGTGTGGCAAGTTTTCTTTTTTCTTTTTAGATTGGGTGACACCAAAATTACTTTAAGTCATTTTGATGTCACCCCTCTAATGGTGTCACTCGGGTGCGGGCCGCACCCCTTAGTGACGCCACTTCACATATGAGTACACATTACTTTACAAATCTACTTTACAAATCTTTTGTCCCTTAAAACAATCCTCATACATTGCATTTATTTCTACTCAGTGTTTATCTGTATGGTTGTGGTTGCCCTTTAACTTAATGATATAATTTCCTTTAATAAATGTACAATGGCTTTCTGAGTAAGTCCACTCACTCTTTACAGCCAGTAAATGTACTCTTTAAGGAGACAGAAAGTCTATGGTAACAACACGTGCTTTGTCACATGTTAAAGCTCATCCTTTGTTGAGCAGTTTAATATTCCAATAACATAATGTTCCCCTATTGATTGCCCTGCCATTTTTAGAATGCATCCTTCTAGAGCATTTTGTAAGTTCCTTTGTCCCGCGCACTTCAGCGACCAGCTATTCTGTACTGCCGAAAGAAGTCCACTGACTCCACCAATTTACTTGCTGTCTTGTAAGCATCTTTCATTTCATTCACGTCTCCAGCTAAAGGATCCTCGATGGCATCTCTCACAATTAATTGTCGCCTTTCTTTCCCAGGATCTTCATCTCAATAAACTGTGAATGTATTAAGCGCCACACAATTCCCAGCAAGAACAATATACATTCCTCAACACTTTGCTGACTAATCCACCAACCCAGCTGAGTAAACTCCAGTGCAGGCCTCAGTCTATTTCATCTCTTACAATGGAGAGCCTGTTGAATCAAAAATATTATTTGCTGTTTTAGCTTACTATGGAAATATTGCAAAACATATTATATCTCATGTAAGAAAAGTTAGAAGTATACACAAGCTATAGATAAGAACCATTAAAGCTAAAATACACACTGAGACACATAAAAGAGTTATTAGAGGTATACCATAGTTAACCAGGAAATCTGAATTTAAAGTAAACCTGTGCTTTGCTCATACCCTCCTACCAGTATTAGATATTTCTCAGAGCTCTGAAGGAGACTAGCATCCATCTATCTATCTATCTATCTATCTATCTATCTATCTATCTATCTATCTATCTATCTATCTATCTATCTATCTATCTATTTCACTACTACAATACGCATTTAGTAGTAATTTACATTACTTTGTTTAGAACAGAAGTGCTCTTGCAAATCATAGCGATATACATATGGACCCATGAACATCATGTGATCTTCCAGCAGACCTGCAATGACAGAATGGTGAATTAAGTTTGAAAGGTAAACTCCAGGTAAAGTCAGAAGTCACCCTTGTGGTGGGGCTCCACCTAGACGTCAAAGGTTTGATGCTCATTTTGGTCTAGGGGTAACATTAAAAGCAGTTTTACTCACCTTATCCCATACTGCAGAAAGTAGTATTAACCTCTCTAACCTTTGTTCAGTAATGAATTGATCAAACAAATATACATTGTCCAGCAAAGTGTCTCTATACATTTTAGCTCAAACCCTTACAGTCATCATATCTCTAAACCGCTTAGAAGAAGCCTAATGAAGGGTGGAGGGAGGAGAAGGGAGCAGCAAGGAGGGTAGGGGCTTGCCTTGCTGTGTCTGTGTGATACACACAGCCTACTAGCACGCACACAAGGGGGCTCCATTGGACCGTGCAAGGGAAAGGACCCACCCTACAACAGGATATCAGGGCTAGTACTCGGAAAAGACAAGCTGATTCTGCAGGAGACTAAAACGTTTAAACATCAAGGAGCAGCATCCATTGCAAGTGTTATAATCTATTTTGCATAACTTTAAACCATTTTGGAAATAATATTACTTGATATTTCTCCCCAGATGCCTGACCAGTCACTTAAAGTTAATCACAGACACTGTGAGATCATCATGCATTTTGCTGGGCTAGCAGTCTTTCACTTACTTTTTCTGCACAGCTGCTAAACTTTTAATTAATGGTTGCATTTTGAATATAAAAGTTGTACTTCTATATTGTATTGTGTATTACCCAAAGCAGTAAAATAGCATTGTCAATGAATGATCAGTCAGTTGGTTTCATACAGTACATATCACAAGGTGAATCTGCTTTGTGACTTTACTTTCTCAGATAATCATTTAAATTCACTCAATGATTCAGAACATCAGTGGAGTCCCCTGGGGGGGCAGCAACTAAAAACATAATTTTAACTGTTGCAGAACATGCAAATGTTTGCGCTCACTGTTGGACCAAAAGTTCAATAACTAGAATTATTCACGGTTCAGTAAGCCCTGAAAGAAGGGAAGCCGGGCTCCATTGAACTCAAAAGCAAGCTATGTGCATTCAAAGTCTGATAAAGGAACATAACTTTCTACAACCCCGACTAGGAACAAACAGATAGCAGAACTTGGGATGATCTAATATAACAAATAGCAGAAGACTGACAATAAAATACTGACAGTATGTATACTAACTGCTTTGCTTTGTTCATGGCATGATTGCACATTTATACAGTGGTTCTGCTTGCTTGCACCTTGTATGATTTCCAGCTGCTTTTCAGTTGGCATCATGCTTTGAACTATTCAATTGCAGCAATAATAAGCTGACAGCACAGAAACATTGTGATTGTTCTGGAAGTCTAGTGTGATAAGAGAATATAATACATTTAACTTGGAATTCAGGAATAAAACTTAGCTATTTGATAGATTATCAGTCTGTACCCTTTCTGTGAGGGGTACAGCCGATAAATTAGACAGTAGACATAGATAAGACTCTGATTAATTAGCATGGAAGGGTGACTCAACCCAGTTGATATATCTTGTACATAGTCAAATAAATCGGCAAGATGATTGCAGGGCTGCATTTGCGGTCA